TAAATAATGTTACAATGAAATAGCGCTCACGAAATTATTGGGAAATGTAAAGCACTTAATATTCATTAAAAAGTGATAATTATGTAAAAATGTACGTAGAATCTAATGGTAACAACGGTTTTCCAATGCGGTGTCAATTGAGGTAGTTTCCGGTACCATTTATGCTAAAATGTATTAAATAATGTTACAATGAAATAGCGCTCACGAAATTATTGGGAAATGTAAAGCACTTAATATTCATTAAAAAGTGATAATTATGTAAAAATGTACGTAGAATCTAATGGTAACAACGGTTTTCCAATGCGGTGTCAATTGAGGTAGTTTCCGGTACCATTTATGCTAAAATGTATTAAATAATGTTACAATGAAATAGCGCTCACGAAATTATTGGGAAATGTAAAGCACTTAATATTCATTAAAAAGTGATAATTATGTAAAAATGTACGTAGAATCTAATGGTAACAACGGTTTTCCAATGCGGTGTCAATTGAGGTAGTTTCCGGTACCATTTATGCCAAAATGTATTAAATAATGTTACAATGAAATAGCGCTCACGAAATTACTGGGAAATTGAAGGTATTTAATAAGCTTTCAGAAGTGAAGAAGCGTGTAAAAAAGTACGTAGAATTTTATGGTACCAACGGTTTTCATGTATGATGTTAAATACATACTTTTCCAGCATTTCTTTACTGAATTATATAAAACAATTTAAACATAAAAAAGCGCTCCTGAAATTCTTATGAAATATTGAAAAATGGAAAGTATTTACTAAGCTGTGAGGTTGATTGTGATATAATTGTGTTTCAATTATTTTCCATGGGACTTCTTCTATAATTTAATACAGCGTTTAATTTTAAATTATTGTCGCCTTATAGACACTTTTATAAATTTTAGTGCTTCAGTTTTATTGTTATGGGCTTGTGCGTCCTATAAATATCAGTTAATTTTCACTCATTATATACATACATATGCACGTATATAAATGGTATTTAAGTGTTAATCATTTTACTTTTGCGAATATTATCTCATGTGTGTCAGTTAGTTGCTCCTACTTTTAAAAATATTATTCTTCTACGGAAGGGAAGAAACTGGTTTATGTAAACAATCTAAAGGAAGTTTCACCTCACCTTGGTGTATCATTTAAAGCACAAGGTTTCATATTACTAGGAATGGTCGTAGCAGACAGACCGTCTGAATGATAAAATATTGCGCAGAGGGTGCAGAATGGAGACCTCCCTCGGAGTTCCGCCCTTTGAGAACACCCTGACAGAAAATTAATTACAATATTATTTTTTGCAGTATTCCAATCTTATTTTGTACAATGTACAAACGACCTCTGTCACTTCGCTAGCTACTGCGGTCACTAAACAATCTGTAGCTTTAGTTTTATATTCCTTTACGCAAATAATAATTAATTTTTCCTTGGTTGTTATTAAGTATACGTTTGGCAATTGGCCAAGTACTCCAAACAGTACAAATTACGACATATATTCAATGAATTTGTTTGTTGTTTATGGTTATGAATACTGAACCAAATAATTGCCTTATAAATGATCTAATATTTAATTGTTGTTGCATATACCTGCAACGGAAGTGACTTCAGCTACAGTGACTAAAAAGAAGGTATAGGATGACCTAACTTTTGTTATAGGCTGTTACGAGGTTACCGGGACATAAAAATAGATGGTTGGGAATATAAATGAGGAGGTTTGAACAAAGATAAATTGAACTGAGCAACATATCATTAAAGATCGAAAAATGCAATCATTTGGACCACTGAAGTACATTGCGAGTATGCGATATTGATGACTATAAGAAAAATCAGTTAGTTCGTTTTTTAAAACGTTTTCTTAACTGGACAAATAGGGTGCAGTTATTAAGGATGCATTTAATGTTTGACAACCCCCCTTAAACAGAAGTATCCATAGGCCTCCGCCACATTTTATTTTTGTCAAATTGTACAATTCTAGAACAAATTCTTTTAACAACTCACAAAAAAAAACACACTCATAATTGCGTAATGTAATGTAGGTATTTAGTTGTTTAACACACACTGATAATTACGCATTTACGCATTTCTATGATCGCGTCACCCGCATGCACAAAATGTAAATTTTCTGCATAATTAGTTCACAAATAATTATAGTTTGAAATAAGTGAATGCCAACTGGTTAAAAACCAGAAATAGAGATATGCATCTGGTTGTCTCAAAGTACAATATCAGATGTCAGCTTAAACTAATAATTACATCGGTGTAATAGTAATCTCGATCAGTGTAGCAAATTATGCAATTGTTAGATTTATTAATTAGTGCTTAGGTGCAAAACTTAGAAAACACGGTGTTCATTAAATAAAAATTGTAGTATATGCAGTGGAAGTTTTTTGTGAAAACGATTGCTATTGCTATGAACGAATGCCGCATGCGACAATCAATACCAACGGTACTATTGCGAGCTGACACCAGGAGGCCACAAATCATACGCGAATAAGACACACCCATGGACAAGACTCACGACAATAGGAACTTACGGGAAGTTTCCGGAAACAATCAACAACATTCCATGATGTTGTAGAAATTGCTCGGGTATTTTGGTTTC